TCCGTCTGGTACTCAAATCGCAAGTCTTTTTTTATCAAAAACAAATCGTCAGCGGACAGATGTGGTTTCCTTTTCACCTGAATACCAGTAGTAGTGGATTTCCAGCTGGATGGTAGTCCGTGTAGATTAGAGAGCTTTACCTGACCATCTCCATCCGTGGGTTTGTCCCTCATATACTTCGCAACTACAGGGTCTCCAGCATCTTGAGCGTTCTGGACAATCCCGAGCAAATTGCGCTTCGCTACAGTCTTCGTACATGTATGTCGTTTACCTTTTGCCATTTCCGAATAGCAATATGGACACAAACTCAACTGGCACTTTTTTTTTGCATTAAATTGTACTTATACTTGTACAGCGTGGTATTATCAGAATTATTCTGATTACTATTCGAATAAACTGTAGACGAACATGCTCGACAAATTTTTGTAGGATAATACCAACCTATCGATCTAACATCGTGAAGAAAGTGTTGTTCGATAATATCAACCACCTTTGTTGATAGTGGTTGAAGATGCAGCTTCTTCAAGCACAGTATGCACACCACCAAACGATTTTCTTCGTGACTTTTCGGTTTGATGTTTAAGTTTTGCTGTTAGAATTATATGTGTATATAGATAAACGTTTGAATATTTTTTAATTAGATAGAGCCATACCTTTTTTCAGCAAATCAAAACGATGACACAAAACAACAAAAGTTCACTTTTTCACAAGAAACAAATACCAGTTGGTTCACAATACCACGTGCGCAGAATGCATATGACAGATAGGCTTTTAGAGTCATGACCTCCTACGATCAAATTGTATCCAAATCATAAGTTCCACTGATTTTTTTTTCAAATCATCCTTTGAAAAGGGTGATTTTTGATAATTTTTACCCGTACTTCATACAAAAAAAAAATCTAGACCCCCCGATAGAACATTTCGAGGTTAGTCTCATTTGAAAGGGGAGAGCATAAGCTTTCGTTTGGTGAGTGTTTTAGCGATACTGATTTTTTTTTATTAATGTTGTTCTACCAGAGACACAATACCTGCCTTTAGAAATAACTTTCATAAAATTGCGAACTTAATATAGAATTGGTGCAGAGGACAAAATCCTGTTTTTAATTTACTTTCTAAAAGTTCCGTTCAAGTTCCGCCAGAGGCTGCTTAGAATGCTCTTCAATTATGGTACCGGAACTTTCAAGTTCTTATAACGACTTAAAAATGAGACTGCTTAGAATTCTATGGACCACCTTCAACCAAGCTGCTTAAGCCATAAATAGCCTTTTATCAGAACTTTTAGTTACTTGGGTATAAGTGTAATAACGACTTTTTAATAACTATTGTAGCACTGCAATAACTATTTTGTTCGCCAGGTGATGATGGATTTTTGGTATTTGATTTAATAATAGTAGAAAAAAAAATTTTTTGAGTAATTTACAAAGGTTTGAGCCTTGCGTACGTATTACGGATATAAAGGACTGAATTTAATATTTGATAAAAAAAAAATGCAATTTTTAACCTTATATGGAAAATACCTTGAGTTAGTATTGAGTTATCTGGAAAATGTTGGGGGTTCGTGAGCATTCCTGACATTGCTGAAAATTATGATAGCATCAAATTGCGAGGTTGCTAGTGTAATAGGATGTTTTGTTGATTGTTCATTAACTCTTGATTGATTGTAATACTTATTAATATTTTAGGTGGACAAAAAGGTGAACTAAGAGGTGGACGCCTGAGCTTTTTCACACTTATATCACTGTGAAGCAACTGAAAACACTAGAGGGAATTTATATCTGTAACTTAAACCAGTTCGATTTTGTTTGCTAACCTGGTTAAATTGTCATATATAATTATCTTAAAGATAAATAGTCCAGCTCAAACCTTTGTAGAGGTAAAAGGTGGGACCATAATCATGATTATCATCATCATCAAGTGCATGAGAACCTTTTGTTTTTATTACCGTCATAACATATATTGCCCTTCCGATCGAGGTTATTAAGCGACGGAGGAGTCCTTTTTCGCGTCAACTATCCTTCAAGATGTGCACATCTGTTTCCCATCTCTGTTTCCCATCTCTGCATCTCCCGGATGACACACTCAATAATCATGTATTTCTCCATCATCAACCGTAGATCATTGTTGGAAAGATGAGAGCAAAACAAATCGTTTATCGACAAATTGAACTGTTTTCCACTGACCTACTAGATAGCTTGATTTACAGCTTGGAACGTATTTAGTATAGCAGGATCGCTCTTAAAATTTATCCGGTTTACCTTGTTGGACTAGATTGCAGGCTAAAATGCAGGATGAACTTCCGATATATGTATAGGTATGGTTGGTTCGTCAGCTCGATTATCGACTGCATCAATTTGTATGTAAAACGTTTTAGTTCTTTATTTCCTAATTTTTAACTGTTGAAAATCTGGAATGACACAGCTGTAACGCTATAAATCCGCGCACAAACTTAATTTTTCTCCGATTTTTACTCGAACTTTCGTTTGTGTTATTGTTGTTTTGCAAAGCTTTTCGCGTTTTCATGGCCTTCTGCGAATATTTTTAGTTCAGTGCTTCAAAGATTAAACCGTTTCAACAGCATTGGCTGTCAGTGACGATTGTCAATTTCGGTTGTCAAAATGCTAATTTTTCTCTAAACTGGCAATATTATAAAATGAGCAGGATGAGTTTCCTATACGAAAAACCTTAGTGACATGTTATTTCTTGTTCTGACGATCATAGGGAGATGACTAGCAACATGCTTTGATCGTCAATACAAAATGACAGACATAAGGGAAATGGATGTTATGTCGGCCTAAATGCTCCTTTTTTGGGCCCATTCAGCAATCGACTAAATTTTCAATAGCGACCAAAAATATACATTAGTACCGTCCCAATGATGCGTTCATCTAGATAAAATTGATAAATAGCATCCTAAATCCTGATGAATGTGGGCGGCTTAGTGGATGTGCGTCTGTATAATGAGAGAGAGAAGGATTAGTAATTTCCATTTAATTCCACTACCTTATTTGCTTATCCTTGACAGATCCGCGTATTTCGTCTACAATGAGCAGACTTCTTCAGTGTCTTGTACTAATACTCGACTGGTAAATAGCAGATTTTTAGTGATGGGCCCAATCTTAGATCCATATGCCAACATTAGAGCCATTTCCCCTAGTAGCCCAATTGTATGCATTGACGATGACATTTTTCAGCACTGGATTCAGTTAGAATTCCTCATGTACCGTATGCGTGATAATATTTGCACCATCGTACAAATAAGGTTCCCGATACACCTGTACATACAATGCCTTGGTTTTCTTTGCATGCACGTAGCCTATAGCTCATACCGTAGTAGGCTGTGTATAAAAGACAATGATTTACTTAGTTTGACAGTTGCACCATGACGAAGTGGCAGCGTATTCGTGATTTTTCCCATGCAAAAATGTCGCAAAAAGACATTTCAATCGCCGTGGGAGTGTCCCGGTTGACCATCAAAAGGGTTTTAGACCGAGAAAAGAAAGGACAACTATCCGCGAAGGTGGCCACAGGTCGTCCGAGATCAGCTCGGGTTCCGAGGGTTATCGCTGCTATCAAAAGGAAGATTCGGGTGAATCCAGTGCGTTCAATAAGGAAAATGGCAAAGGAACACGGGATCAGTGACTTTACGGCACGGAAGATCGTAAAGGAAGATTGCGGGGCGACGTCGAGGGCACGGAAAAAAAACTCACATGATTACCAACCGAACGATCCAAGAAAATCTTGAACTTCCTTAAGCGAAAAAAATCCGGTAATCCTGTTCACCGACGAGTGCATGTTTACCGTCGATCCCGTATCAAATTCCAGAACCGACCGGTATATTAGTTCTCTTCCGGTAAAAGACGAGCACAAGAACGTGTACCTGACCAAGCATCCTGCTAGCGTTATGGTGTTTGGATTGGTGGCTTCCGATGCCAAAAAATAGTACTCAGTTTTCATTCCAGAAGGCGACAAGGTCAACAAGGAGGTCTACATCGAGATTTTAAGTAAGTATGTTCTTCCGTGGATCAAAGAACAGTACGGTCCGAACCCAAATGTTGTATTTCAACAAGAAGCCGGAGTACGAAGTGGTTGCAGGAACATCTTCCGTTCTGGGCGACAGTAAGCCTCAGACAAACATTGACCCGTACCTGAAGAGAAATGGATCCAGACTACATTATTAGAACCTGCCGTGCATTCCGGAAGCGTGTGGAGGCCGTAATTGCAGCAAGTGGAAACTCGATCGATGATTAACATAGTTTAAGACTCTGAGAGACTTATGAATAAATAAAAAAAACTCGAACCCGAAATTTTTGAGATTTGTTTTAATTTTGACATTGCTTGATGGTGCAAACATTATCACGCATACGGTAGGATTATTAATATTATTATGACAGAACGTCATAATTGTACCAAGCAGAATTGGGTATAATGACACACTCACTGTCTACAAACAAGTCAAGTCGAAGAAATGTTTGTGCATTTTTGTTTTGTGTTTTTTTTTTTTTTTAATAAAAAGCAAATGAATCAGAATGCGATGAGAACTTTTGAAAATTTTGGATTTCGATGCTAGATGCTTCAATTTTGCCCACACATTTAATTGGGCCGGGAATGCAAGATTGATTAATTGTTGATGCTTTTCAATTCCAAACATTTTAATTTATGGGAACTTGATAAAAAAAGTGTTGCTAAGATCTCAAAACTGATTTCAAATCCTTGATCATGAAATGGGGTTTTTTTTTATAAAGATTTATTACGGATAATTTCAAGTAACATTGGGGAAAGCTCCTATTTCAGACTGATTCATTACATTTCGATACATCGATTAAAATATATTTGCAGCCATATGAATTATTGATCGACTTAAATACCAATGGACCATGAATTCTACAAGCGATTGAAAAATACCCCACTGAGACCGTTCGGTGGCTCTCAGAGAACCATAAATAACAATCCATCCCGTTTTCTTTTATCAATTTCCATTCTCGGATCTGCCACCACACCAGAAAGCAACTCCAGCTCCAGTAACCACCGGCGGAGATTTATGGCAAGAGTGGCTACAAATGTGCTACTGTCGCTCGTGGTGCTGCTCAACTCGTTATCCTCGGCGTCGGCGCTGGCGACGGTGGTCCTGTCTCCGGTTCTGCCAAGGTCCTCGATCGGACGGAGATAACTCCGTGCTCCACCACTTCAGGACAGCGATATCACTACTAGTAGCACTAAACTATCACAACGGTATATCTCGCCCAGGCGAATCACGTATCTTAGTGGCTTTTATATTACGTTTTAGATTTTAATGAAGAAGTAACGACTCCTCCTCGTCATTCCCTCCCCCCCCCCCCTCCCTTCGCCACACTGAAAGTACTTTTTAGATTAAATTGAATGCCAAAGATATAAAAAGGGAAGCTGTAAATTTTGTGAGATTACCACTCGGAGGGAATACGGGAAAAATGGCAACGGAAACTCGTAGGAAACCGTCGGTGCCACAAATAGGAAAGAGCGAGAATGCATCAAACTGTAAGATATGGTACTGTAAATACGTGTAAAATTTGTTTCCAAGTTTTATCGAATGAACCGAATAGCGCAGAATAGGACACACAATGCAGGCTACTTGAAGAAGTTTATCTTAAGTTGCTACTTTAGGGAAAATTTAGGCAAAACAAAACAAGGAAAACAATACAAGGTTGATAACATCGATCACTTAAGCGGTCTCGCAATTACTTACATGTCAATTCTGATGGAAACCGTTACAAGATGGAAGCCGAAACGTGTTTCTATAAAACAGAACAAAAATAAACAGTATTACTTATCGTTGAACTAATCTAATACACCACAAACACACAACAACAACAAAAAAACTGAAACAGACTAATTCGTCATATCAGGTGGAATACGCGTAAAATACAAAAGAAACGTAAGTAAAAACTTTTTAAAACACTCATTTATGTGACAAAAATTTCGCTCTTAAACTTTAAATCATATTTATGGGAGAAAAAAAAAAGTGATGCAAAGTTGTCTATCGAAAATTCAATGTACTTTTTTGGAAGGAAATCAAATTTTCTTATTTTTATATTTTGTATATCAATCCCAAACTCACCCACTCACTGCGTATGAATCAGTATTAAGCGATTCCTGGAACAAACCAAAAAAAAAAAACAAGAAAAAGAGAGACGAAAACTCAACCGCCATATCAGAAACACCCCCACAGCACTGTACTCCCCCAAAGAACGAAGAAGTGCTCCCTTGCAAAATGATTCTAGTTGATAAGAATGACTCTTCACTACGTTTGCTTCCCCCGAAATGTGAAAAAAAAAAATCGAAAAAAATATAAACCTATAAACGTTACAGAGAGTCTCCCGGAATTGAATGTGATTTTTAACAGATAATGAACAAAAACCAAAACGGAAACACAAACATGAAAATGGTTTTTTGAACAAGTTACCACAAGTGAGATCAAATTTAGGTTATTTCTATTAGGAAAAAAAAGAAAGAAATATTAATATCAAACCATTTGGTGATGATTTGTTTTCGTTCACGTGATAGGAGTGAGGAAAATCCAAACCTGTTAATTGTTACTGGCGGGGAATGCAGCAGAAACAAACGCGAAAATGGTGTTGGTTCAAGTTTTTGGAATCCTATTGAGAAGCATTATAATAATTAAAAAAAGAAGAAGAAGAAACACTATGAGGATAATGGATCGATTGTAATTGTAAATAATTTTCATAAAAAGTCAGATACGGTTTAGTCTATTTTAATAAATGTATAAATTCATGAATCTTCTAGGTGTGCGTTTATTTCTAGTCATTTCCATTCGTGGTCGGTGTGTGTGTGTGTGTGTGTGTGTGTGTGTGTGTGTGTGTGTGTGTGTGTGTGTGTGTGTGTGTGTGTGTGTGTGTGTGTGTGTGAATTCAAAACAACCATTTCAAAGCATGATCCCAGGACCGAGGAAGCTACAGTATCAATAGTTTTCTAAACATTTGATAACAGGTAAATGATAATATAAACCAAGTTCAGGAGATTTTACTGGAATTCCACTTCGCAGTTAATCATTTCAAACGATCAGATTGTCGCTGGAGGGCATTCCCTATCGCGTAATTAGTGATGCTGCTGCTATTTATTGCCGTTAAACTCTCAGAGCATTCTCAGTTCAAAATGAGTATCAGTAAGCGTAACATCTGTCTGCTGATTGCAACACTCTGTATTTCCTCAGTTGCCAGTAAGTCTTCAGCTTCGTACATTTACGACAGAAAATAACTTAATGATTGTTTTTCCTAATTGCGTGACAGTTCCCTTAAATGCAGAATCGAATTCATCATTAGCGGAATCCCGGCCAGTGAAGTGTGGCGAACGTTTAACAAAACCTCTACATCCTACGAAAATACCCACAGACACAGGATCGCAAATTGAGCAATGGCCTTGGGTCGGGGCACTGTACATAGGCACTAACAACAATCCACCGGAGTTCACATGTGTAGTTACCGTATTGAATGATCGTTTTGTTGTGATCGCTGCCCACTATATCGCAAGGGACGACCTAATGCCTTCAGACCTATCGGTCCGGCTAGGAGCGGCAAATCTCATCGATGAAAGTGAATCGTTGCAAAATTTTAATGTCGAACAAATTTATATCAACAATGCAACTTATTGGTTTAGAACTATTGCATTGCTCAAACTATCAAGTAAAGTCGAATTCAATCAATTTGTACAACCAATCTGTCTGAAGAAGGTTAGCCACGGAGAGGAAATCATTGGTAAAAGCGGATTCATCGTAGGATGGGAAAAGGATTGGTTTAATAGTTACGAAAAATATATGAGAGAAGCGAGCATGTCCGTGGTACAGAACTCAAATTGTTCAGAGCGTGGTTTGACGGAGAACGATACACTTTGTGCCACAAGAAGAGGCATGGAGGTCTATAATAACAGATTATACTGGGATGTCAGTTTGCATGTAGGGGGATTATACTTGGAAGATAATGACATATGGTTCATAAGAGGTATTGCTATAATCGACATAAACCAGAAATATTGGGAGTTTTCGGATATAGCTTTCCATTTGTCATGGATCATTGGTACGATTGGTTGATTCAATTGGGTATCTGCGCTTTGTGGAAGCATTTTCTACGGAAGGTTGAAATACATAGTTTCAAAAATTCTGCTTGCAGAAATTTCGGGCATATGCGAAAAAACAGTTTTTGAATGCTTTAAAAATAATTTTCATCCCCTTTCCTCTCAAGCAGATTGAAGAATAAATTGCTCTCCATGTAGAAGTTGTTTTTTTTTTTTTTTTTTTTCTTTGGTTTGTTTTCCGTCGATCTTGTTTTCCGTGCTGAGCACCAATGCTACCGACGCCAGGAAGGCAGCTCCCACACCTGGACCCTACCTATCGACCCATCAACTCATGAACCGGGGACCAACGGCTTTGCTTCCCTTCCGAAGGAAGGCGTGATCAGAGATGTTATGCCTCAGAACATCCCGGCGGCGCCGACTGGGATTGAACCCAGGCCTGCTGGGGTGAGAGGTAATCACGCTTACCACTACACCACCGGCACCGCTATAGAAGTTGTTGATTTTGTTCATACAGATGAAATTTATTCTGCCTTACATTTCTTCACTCACAATTTTCAACCTAAACTATCAATTTTAGTCATCATAGCAAGGCAAAACTATACGTTACAAAGATGGAATGCACTTAAAACTCGAGTCGTCCTTTACTCCAGGTGAGTGAAATTTAGGTAATGTGTGCTGTGGCTTGCAGGCCAGACTTGGTAAAAACACCGCTCGGTGCGACTCCGTGGCTATCTGTATTTTCATCTTAAACTTAAAAACATTAAGAAAGCTACACAGAAGATCCATGTTTATATGGAAATTTAAAGATCTTCTGGGCAGTTCCAATAATTTCTGAACAATTCCAGGAACATCATCAGGGAAACATAGGCCGGCGCCGGTGGTGTAGTGGTAAGCGTGACTGCTTTCTAACACCCCGATGGGTCTGGGTTCAATCCCAGCCGAGGTCGGTGAGATTTTTCTGAGGCATAAAAATCTCTGGTCTCGTCTTCCTTCGGAAGGGAAGTAAAGCCGTTGGTCCCGGCCCATGTGTGTTGTGAATGGGTGCGATATCCTACGCAGGTGTGGAAGCTGCCTTCCTGCACATTCGGTTGCCGCCAATGGATGGCAATCGATGTCCATCGGTGATTGGCACTAAATTGCGGAACAGAGACCGACGTTAAATAAAGGAAAGAAGAAGATCAGGAAAACATAAGGGAAGTTCCGTAAACTTCAAGATCTTCAGGAATCCGAGCCTGAGGAACGAAAATAAGTACTGAGAATTTCAGGAAATTTCATAGGCAAACTGCGGGAACAAAAGGAAAGTTCCGCAAACTTTCTGGAAATTTTTGTGAACTTCAGGTAAACTTCAGGATTTTTGAAGTGGTTCCAAAAGCTTCAGGAAACTACAGGAACTTTTAAGAAAATTTGAAAAATTCAGGGATGTCCAGAGATTTTTAGGGAAGTCAAAATAATTTCAGAGAAATTTGGAAAATTGACATTTTAAAGAACTTCCAAGTACGTCGAAGAAGTTAGACTAGAGAGCTTTAGGGAATATCAGAGATATTAACGGCACTTCCAATAACTGCATTACTTCGTGAAATTCAAGAAATTCCAGACTTTCAGGGAAGATCGAAGATTTGTATGGGTAAGGTTCGAAAAATTCCGGTCAATCCCATAAACTTTAGAAAAACTTCCAGAATTTTTTGACAGTTCTATTTAGTTCAAGGTTATACCAACAGGTAGAAACTAACGATTTTAATTTGACTCACTACTTGACTAACCTATTGGTCCCAATAAAATCCATTAACGTACCCCATTCTAGTTTAAATTCTAATACTACACTATGTTTGTTTTGATTCGCTATGAAAGTTTGACAGATAAAATGAGGGGTTCGTGGATTTTCCTATGTTTCGAGGGGTGCATCGATTAGCATGGGACCAGAGCTGAGCCAAAAAGTTGAGCACGTTGCTTTAAGACCTTCTAGTCTCTGAGTTACCTCTATGGCAATACCAAGAACTTCAATAGAACTGAGAGTACTTCAGGAATGCTTCGAGAGCAGAAGGACTGATCAGAGAAACTAAGAACAATTCAACTAATTTCAAGGAAATTGAAGAATGTTTAAGAAGTTCCAAGAAACTCAGAGAATTTCCGAAACTTCATCAAAGTACCAAGACCTTTATTTAAATTTCAGCAACATAAGAGATGTTACATGTGCATCAGGCAAATGTGAGATCATTTCAAGGGAGTTCCATGGTTTTCAATGCTGTTCAAAGAACTGCACAAAAAATCCAAGAAATTCAGCGACGATCAGATTACGTTCAAGAAAATTGCGAGATCTTTTAAAATGTTCTGACATCTTCAAGAACGTCTAGAGACCTTCCGAGAAGTATATGGATTTTTGGGTGGTTTCATTATATTTTGGGAAGTTCTTGGAGCTTCGTAGGTGATCATTTATTTAAGGAAAATTTCAGGATATTTCAAGGAATTCAAAAGAATTATGGGATATTTCAAGAATTTCATGAATTTTGCGATGCTTTAAAAACAATGCGAGGTCTTCGGGAAATTTTATAAATAGGATTAAAATTTCCGGAACTATAGAAAAATTAATGATCTTCAGGAAAGATTCAAAACCTCACGGAATCCAAATAAAACTAGGATTTTTACGCGAATTGTCTACTTTTGTGGATGTCCAAAATCTTCCAGAGAACCACACCGCTATCTGATTGCATATGCTAGTCCTAGATCCTAATTCTTATATGTAGCTTCAGAATAAGTGAATCGTGAAGCTCTTGAATCTTTTTTTTTTATGTATTGATAACTTTTACACATGGTCTGGACCAGGGGTTGAAACTGTTG